AGTACTAGCAGTAAGAGAGAGGATTTTAACAGGAAAATCCAACACCCACTGAAAATAAACCAGATGAAAAGAACATGCAAATGACAATAAAATGTGCCTCTGAAGCATTAATCAAGGGAAATATAATTCAGTTTCCATGTTTGATTTGCACGCATTTCAGAAAAATGCCCATTGTGTAAAACAAAGACAAATCAGTATCCAATTTCCCAGAAGAATTTCTACATGTAAACTCCTAGAAGTAAGATTTATGGTATGTTACTTTTCCTCTTGTGCATGTCAATGATATTGAAATCACCTATGTTTGTGTGTGTTTTCCAAAGGCTATGACATTTTTAAGATGCTGGACTATGTGTTATTTATGTTTGTATCACCAGGACTTAACACAATGCCTGGCACTTAGCAGATATTCTAGGTTTATCGAACTGAACTCTATATTAGATTCTTAGTTTTCTATTTAATATGTCACATTCAGTAGACAATCTATTTCTCCCTTCAAAAGTCATGTTTTTATACATAATGCATACTTTCTATCTCCAAAAATCATGCACTATGCCTGAAAATGCCCTAAACATGGGAGTATATATATTTGTTTTCTACCACTTCAAGCTCCTGGAGAAGAGTCCTGAAAATTTCCTTGCACACAATCATGCCCTCAGGTTCACATGACTATAAAGATTGGACTAATCCCTTTTAAAAAGTCCAATTAGGATTACTTATTTGTAATACGTAATTCAAATCTTTAAAAATTAATATAATAAAATGCAACATTAAATTTACAGACAATGGTTTTTTTAAGAACAAACTTTTTACTTGAAAACTGAATATGAAATATTACCTATTGAATGCATTAGCAAAGCACAGAGAACAAGCATTCCATGGTGGCTGCCTCAGGGTATCAAACCATCTCTAACCCATTTCAGATTCCTACTTATAAAACTGTGGGTGGTAACAATCTGGATACATATTTTGCTTAAATTGTTCATAGACACAACATCTGTCAAACAACCAACATGCCTGACCCAATTGTACTGAGTAAGCCCTACAGATTATTTGTCAAACAAATTCAGTAACCCAATATTTGTTTCTTTATTTTAAAATTTAATTGGTATGCAAATAGGACAACAAGACAGCATTTGTGCTGGATACAGTTGTCACTTCAGATTCTGGGAATGCTCATTATCATGCTTACAGATGTTTTCTTCCCACCTAACATCTGCCAATACTACCTAAACCCCAGGAAGTCTACAAACCTGTGCAAACTTCCTCTCACTGTGGGTCTCTTTCTCTGTTATCTGTTCCATGCACACTAATTTTGTGCATCTGAGGCCTCTGTTCGCCAGAATTATGCCTGCTTCCTAACACTTCTGCCTCCAGAGCTTTAGAGTTGAAATTGAACAGACACAGAGCCAATTTATCATAGGATGACATGTGTCATGTTCATGGTATTACCAGAGGAACCCCTGTATGCACTGTATTTATCCTTTTGTTGTCAGCATGGACCAAGACAACACAGGATAAAGAAACGATTACATTTTTAATAATATAATATATGCTTTAAAAATAGAACATTAAATGCAATTGACTTCAAAATGTGGTGCTAGATCATTCTGCTTAAGACTAGAATTTCTTTGTCCAATCATCATCTGTCATTCAGGAATACATCCTATTGAAATGAGAATAACAAAACAAAAGCTTTGGAATACGTTCCCTCAAAAAAAAAAGATAACAGTTTGCTCAAACCAACAATTTATTTCTTCTATCTATCCCACTTTGACATAAATTCTAATCATGCCTAATGATGACTTTATCATGAATACAATACAAATTCACATCATGTGGCTTTTGTCAATGAATACAAATATCCAAGAGCATCCTCATTCCATCTTTCACTCACTAATGTATGTATTTTTAACATCCTAATGATGCATCTCTTACTGTGTTTTCTAGATCAAACATAAAGCAAACATATACAGATACAGTAATATTTCAAGCATAAACCTAATAGCTGAAAGGAAAAAGCTTTTCATTTGAACAAAGTTTAATAAAAAGCTCAAAACTTGAGGCTAAACTTAAAACTGTGAAACTGGCTGATAACAGAGCAACATCTTCTAACATCTCTACAAAGATCTACATTTTATCAGGAACAAACATTTGTTCATGCCAAACCTGGCATCTAGTTTATTTCAATGTGTAATTAATTTTGATTTCCATCTTTCCTCCAGTTACTATTTTAACATTTGCAAATATGCTCCTCAAAGTAAGAGTAAATAAGACCTAAATGCTAGCACTTTTTAGAATGTATTAATATGTAATTGTCAGGAATACATATGCAAAAGAAAAATACATATGCAAAACACAATACTGTGTATATACAAGTATAATAGCAAACTTCAGCTAAGGGCTTAGCCTTTCTTTCACTTCTAATGATGGGCTTGCTAGACTGAGCATAAACCTTTACTAAACAATGCTACTCAAGGAATATTTTATGAATATTAATACTTATTAATTACCAGAAGTATTGGTCAGAATCCACTAGCAGGACTCAAAAAATAGTTGGGTAATTCAAAAACAATTGAATAAATGTTGACAAAAAGACAATTTACAAAGATTTGGACAGGATTAGGAAACCAGTAATGGAGGATGAATGACCCAAATACTCTCAAGAACAGGAAGCTATTACCATCTCTGGGCCTGAAAGGACAAGGAGAGAGAGGTATTAACAGAACCCTGGTGGAGGGTTTGCCCAAAGCAGCAGAGGTCTTAGTGAAAAACCTAGCTACTGACAATTCTCAGCCCAGCAGGGAAGAAAGAGATGAAATAAATACTCAAACCATTTCCTCCTCTACCTGTCCATGTTTCACACTGCTTCCCATTGGAAAAATCCAACGGGAAGCCAGAGTTTATGGAAGCACAGGTGAAGTTATGGCACAAAGAAAAGTAAAGATAGGTGGAAAGCAAACCTGCTGGGGCAGGTGAAAAATAGCACATTGATCTCTCAGTGGTGTGACTTTCACACACTGCCAAATGATACAACCTCAAGGACCTAATCAAAAAATATGTTTTAAATCCCTTTATATGTGATTCAGATGAACTCCACAAGTGAAATTAGAGAGATACTGTATATGCCAGAAACTGAAGACTAAATCACCATTATCTCAAACAAATTCATTTTCAGTGGGGACTTCCAGAGTCCCAGGACCAAACTGCTGAGCTTCTGTTGGCACAGAGACTTTTGAATGTCTGGTTATCTCTAGCCAAGGAAAAAAGCATGATACCAAGGCTAGAACATCCTACTCGTAACAAATGTCTAGAAGAACATTACGGGCTCTCTTCTTATAAGACATAAAGACCATTTCTGTTTGAGTAGCCCTCAAGGGAGTTTTAGGGCAGTTTACAAATACATCTAGCTCTTTAACCTAGTATTGACTATTATCTGGCTTCAGCATCCCTTTTCCACTTCCATCTTGCAATTTCAACACCACTTTTGTTAAGAACTTTCCACTCTAAGCACTTTATTAGAAATTTTCACATACATTATCTCAATTCTCACAACAAATGGTGATAGATATGATATATTCCCATTTTATGTATTATCTGAGACTCAGAGAGATAAAGTAGCTTCCCTGAGCTTACAGAGCTATGACTAGAACCTGAATTCAATGTCCATGATCTATACTTCAAGCCTACTTTCCCATGCTTGTAGTTAGGATGGGTCAGTCACTCTTGCCTAAATAGGCCATGCAACTTTATAACTCTGTACAACTCATACTTTGACCTATAAAGTACTCCCTACCGTCTTAGCCTAACAGGCTTTGGACAGAGATTTGTGAAACATCTACTTTGTGCCAAAGTGGTAGGCAGTAGGAATACAAAAATGAGTAAACATAGAATCTCTGCAGTTAAGCAGTACTGGACTACTGATGGATACAAACTATTCTTGAACAGTCTGCTCAAATTCCTCCTTCATGGTGAATCCTTCTCCAGCCTAAAGTCAAGTATCTTCCCCACTGATCCTCAGAGGATGAATATATTTGGCACTAACCATTCAGAACTTTGTGCCCTTTTTACATATTCACAATCACAACAACTAGACTATGTTCAGTTATGTCTCTGTATATATCCTTCACTGAAACTTTTCTGACTCCTTAAAGTAAGCACTTAGTAACAAGCCTTCATTCAGGAAATATTTACTGAGTACCTACGAGGTCCTAGGCACCATATTAAGTTCAGAAATAACTGGTAGAGAAAAACACATGATTCTTTTCCAGGAACCCCTCCAGAAAATTGTGTAGTTTCTTGGAATATACGGACATGGAGTAGGTATTTATAATACAATATAATCGACCTTATAAGACTGAAGCAAACATTTCTCGTTTGTCTCCATAACTCCATAAAGAGGGCCACAGGGCTTGAGGATGGGCATAAAGCTTGCATGTCCTACCATCTTCAAGAAGCCTCATAATAAAAGGACAGAGAATACCAAATATGTGCAACACAGCCAATGTCTTGAAATCTTTAATGGCCTAAATTTGTTGTTTTTTATTAAATCCAATCCCAGTGCTCTTAGAAAGGAATTAAGGGTCTGTTCTTCATAGAGGCCAAAAAATAATCATATGTTTTATAGTTTTTAATAATGCCATTTATAATCAATAAAATTTATAAGGTCCAACAGGTATTTCTATGTGTTCTTTAATAGGTACTTCTTTGAAACATTGAAGTTTATGAAAGACCATGAGGGTTTATGAGGTTAAAGCTTCTATTCTTTCTAAGTGGACATGTTATGTTAATTACACACATGCCAAATATCCACAGATACATAAAACTCAGTAAAAATTCTAACAATCTTTCACATGAAAAGTCATAGAAAATATAACATTTTAAGCAACATAAGACATGATTTGCCCCAAAATTTATATTTGTACTATAGAAAGCAAATATACCAGATTAAGCTGAAGTTTAATATTCTTAACTTCATTCATTCAGAGCAGATGAACATTTACCTTGTTCCTACTTGTAAGCAATGATTTTCATTCATTAAGCAGCAAAAGCACTTCTTTCTGCAAGAATGTAGTGAGCCAGAAACAACAGAAATGAGTATTTGTATTATTATGTACATAAACATATTGACTTTGAAAAGATTAACTTGTGGATCAATAAGGGAGAAATTCATTACACCAATCAACCCCAAGTAACTAGAACTAAACAAGATGCATCAGTCTACGTTGAAGCAGAATTTACTTCGGTACTGCCATAGCCTAAAACAAACCATAAAATGAAATCATCACATTGTACCAGGAAATTTTGCATAAACAAATCTGATAGATTTGAATATGTTAGGGCTGCATGTATACCAGCTTCTCAGCTGTATGAAAAATGTTGAGATCAATGGATGCTGATGAGCAATATTTAAATGAATTTCTAAATGACTATAATAAAAAATTTAGTTGACTCAACCCCTGCTGTTCTGGGCTGTAAAGTTATGAGCTCTATTTACCTGAAAGCATGTATGCCTATTAGACTTGGCAGGAGTTTCTCAACCTTGGTATTAAGTAGAATATCTGTTTAAAATGAACCAAGCGTCAGGCTATATCAAGTCTGTTACTTCAGGCTGGGATAAAGCAGCATGCTAACCTCATGTACATGAATGCAAAGAGCAGGAGAGAATAAATCTTTGTAGCTTTTCTTAACCTTTGTGAGCTAAAATTTTTTATAAAATGTGGCTGACAGAAAAATATAGCAAGTTTACTTTCACAGGTATCAACTATAAAATGTCTGAATAAAAAGTAACACAACATACAGCTAGATGAATTAAAAGCATATAAATTGAAGAGATTATTTGTTGAGTGGAGAAGCTGAAACCAGAAGGGAGCATTTTCTTAAACAGGAAGTTACTACAAAGGGGTATAATCTGTATGAGGAGAAAAAAATGAAGGTAGAATATTGGGATGGGAAGGAGATTTAGCACTCAATATCATCAGATGTGATATACCAACATTAGGTAGAAAACAATTTGATTAATACTGAAGAGTAGGACGAAATCATACAAATGAGCTGAATTGAAGGCAGGAGAGAATCACAGAGAAATAAGAAGCAGAATGTGGAGCAATGGGGATGACAAGGATTTAATAGTAGAGACTAGGCCTGAGTTTGTCTTCCATTGGCACCACAGGATATTGAAAGTAAAAATGTTTATCAGGTTACAATAAAGGCAGTATTAGTTCATAAATGGCAATATAAAAAGGAGACAAATATTCTTGAAAAAAGAAAAAAATACAAGCAGTAAGTAGAAATGACTGTACCAAAATCTAATATAGCAAAAAGTGGGCTTATAGGCTAACTCATTTTTGTAACATTAAAGTAATTAACTATTACAAACAGGATAAATGTAAATGGATGTGAAGTATAGTGTTTCTAGTATATCAGAGTAGAAATGTGCATTAAAAAAATGCATCTTTCAAAAAGCTTCCACACCTTTCTGGAGGCCAAGAAAAATCTGTGGAGCTAATTGAAGAAGGAGTGAAATCTGTAAGACATTAGTCTCATATTTATCATCAACAGAAATCAAACCAGGGTAGAAAAAAGAATCTGAAAATTATATGAAATATGGCTAAAGAGAATGGTTGATAGTGAACTCAAAGACAAGGGCTGAAAATACAACGAAATGATGTATATTAAGGTGATTTGTAAACTATATAGTACATGCTAATACTAAGCATTTTTTTCCTAAATAGACGAGGAAATAGTGAAAAGAAGCAAAAAATAAATAACTCTCAAATTGAGTTTATCCTTTTACTTTTAGTAATAAAATATTAATTTGGAGACCTAAAAAATATGTAGATGTTTTTGTTTTTGCAGAAAATGTAACAAGAAATTTCCAATGAATCTTTGAAAACAGCAAAACTAGATGTAAAAAATTGATATCAGAGCACCAATCTGTCAACATGTATTTATGGATTTTCCTCTGTGAACCCTGGACTCTGCTTTGTGATGTGAAAAATATTATAAAACTCCTTCTGGCAAAAGAAGGGTTAAGCATGGCTGAGCAGCACTTCTGATGAGTCACTTGAGAACTGTGGAGATAGCAGGAACTTTGTTAGACCGGATAGATAGGACTAGCCATTTGATCAATCCATGTGGTAGCTAACTAATTTCCAGGCCAAAAAAAAAAAAAATAGCATCACAAAGGTAGAGAGAAAAATAGAGGACTTATTACTCCACGCTCTCTCCAGGTAACTGTGTCCCTCTGCCAGTCACAGCTCCCGTTGGACCACACTCTCTATCTGGGTTTGAGGAACAACTTCCTCTACTTGCCCCAACAGGCCTAGCCAATGGTACTGAACTCCTTTATTATTAGCCCTAGGATGCAGCAGCATCCCTTAGACTTCCTTGCCCAATCTTTACAAAAAGACTCTTCAATAAAGTCTCTTAAAATTTTGCAATGTGAGTGGCTGACTGTTTCTGTCCAGAACCCTGACTGATACATTATTTAACAACTTTTGTTGTCAAGGAGTTTATGATCCTGAGAAAGCAGAAATCACTTCTATAAAATAGTGAGAAAGCAATGTAAGACTTCTGTAATAAATTCCTATGTGATGTAGCAGAGACTAAATTCTAAGAAGAGAAGTAAGTGTGAACGAAATAGTTACAGAAGCTTTAGGGAGGACTTCTTATTCTTGAAAATTAGCATGAATTTCAAAAGAGAGAGAGAAAAGAATGAATTCCAAGCTAGAAGAAAAATCACTATCAGTGAAAAAATGTTCAGTCCTTGCAGGACAATAAATTGTTATAATACATATCCCTGTGTACACTATGGAATTATTAAATCAGACCAATTAACATATCATTCTCTGCAAAATAATACAGAGATAAATACAGAAATAGAAACAGAGAGAGAATTATAGATTGAAAATTAGGGTAGCCATATATCCAGGTTGTTCAACACAACCCCATTTCTTACTTATTTCCCCAGTATAATTAATTAACAGTTATAATTATATAGTAATGCTTTTAAGTACGCGCTCTCTCTCTCTCTACACACACACACACACACACACACACACATATATATAAAGTTATTTTGAATTCCTGAACCAAGCATTACAATAAAAGAAATATTTTACCAAGATTCATTTGGCAATGGAATGCAATCTGGACTTTAGATAGGAAGTTCAGAGAATAATGTAGTTTAAAAAGAAAACAATTTGAGGCCTGGCACGGTGGCTCACACCTGTAATTCCAGCTCTTTGGGAGGCCGAGAGGGGCAGATTGCTTGAGCTCAAGAATTCGAGACCAGACTGGGAAACATGGAAAAACCCCGTCTCTACCAAAAATACAAAATATTAGCCAGGTGTGGTGGCACATGCCTGTGGTCCCAGCTACTCAGGAGGCTGAGGTGGAAGGACCACTTGAGTCTGGGAGGCTGACATTGCAGTGAGCCGAGATAGTACCACTTGCACCCCAGCCTGGGTGACAGAGTGAAACCCCGACTCAGAAAAAAGAGAACGATTTGATTAAACTGATTATACTGTGAATGAAAGGAGAAATGTTAAGAAAAACAAATGGTTTTCATAATAAAATTCTATGCACATTCAAAATACAACCAATGGTGCTTTGTAACCTCAATTCTATGCTAAATTTCATGCCAAAAAACAGTCTTACAAGCTAAAGAATTTTAAAGAAATTAAATATTTATTTTATGTATTTATTTATCTAATTAGCTTATTCTTTTCCCCTTAAGCAGTCTGTTACCCTTTACGATGAATTTCTATTCTCATTTCTCATATTCCCTCTCAGAGACTCAAAGAATCTTGTCCTTCCTTAGTCTTGTCTTTGCTTCAATTCCAACACCCTTTTGGTTTAAATCTGCTTTCAAAATGAAAAGTTTTTAACTTTTTTTTAAGTGATAACATCAGAAAGAAGTGATGTCTTCAGATGTTTAAATTGTTATTAAGGTAACATCTGCACAAATAATCAGAGCTTATATGGAAAAGCAGATTTCTCCTAGTTTATTTCCTCCTCTTAATCTTCATATTCCACCTTGCAGAGAAAAACCTTTCTAATTGTTTCTGTTTTTAATTCCTCATATGGCTACTTTGTGACTTTAAATAATATGCTTAAACTGTTGTCTTATTTTATTAACATCATGTACTATTTACTGAATTCCTCATATGAAATATAAGGATTGAGCATACGAATAATATTCTCACTCTTCTTCCTCTTGTCCTGAAAATATTTGATAGAAGAAATATTACCTCTAGTGTTTTCAATTTAGTTAACTTGGTAAATTTAATAATGAATTTAGAATTTTTAGAAATTCCATTGTTGTTTGACTGCTTACCATGTCAAATGTACTACTTCAATTTCTCTTCCCCACATTTCCCCATAGTTCCTTCTTTCAGTAAGTTATACTTTTACTTTTGACTTTTAAATTATCAAGGTTGTTTGTATTTACATTAAATTTTAAACCATGATGGACTTTCATCAAGCTTTGGCTATAGGTTAACAAAATTCTAAAACCAATAAACTAGATCTAATATAATTTTTGTTTACTATAAGGCCTCATGGCTTGTACACATTGTCTTTTGTTCTCTATGCGTGAGATATCAGTCTTCTTGGCCTGATATTGAAGGAGAATGCTCCTAGCAACATAAATGTCCTGTTCTCGCATTTCTCTAAGTGACTCAAATCATTCTATATATTAGTTTACTGTATTTTGAACTATAACTTCATTGCAGAGATAGAATATTTGATTGTAACATTTTTCTCATGGAGAAATTAAGATATCTTTAATATATGCTGAAGATTATTCAAACTCTCAGTATACCATTTCTCACATGGAAACTTATGTTTTATGAAGACTACTCTCCTCCAGCATATATATGATTGCCAATAAGGCCTCAGGAAATTACAGATTAGAACACTGAGTTAAGTCAATTCCATCATGCTTCTCTTGCCAACCCACTTACATTGAGTTCCTTTTTCGTTTTCTACACATGTTGTTACTCTGCTGAAAGAAATACTCAAACATCCAGATTAAAGATGATACAAACAATATCAA